CCTGACTACGCATGGCGTTGACTGCTGTGGTGAGAGGGGAGTTTGGAGGAAACTCCGCCTCCTCCACTTCGGTTCTTGCGCAGTGCTCTTTGTATGGTCCTGGACAAATCCAGAGCATATTTAAACAACAAGAACTAACAGAGACAGCATTGGATACATACTAGCGCCATCTCTTAGGTGCATTTTAAAAGAAACAAATAAATTTAAGAAAAAAAACAGGATGATGTTTATACATCATCATATAGATTTATTAAAAATTTATTTTCAAAACACCATTAAAAAATTGTCGCAGTTTTGTTTTTTTTTTTACTAAATATAGTCTGAGTTTTCACTTACCCAGTAGGCAGTAGTTCTCTCCCATTTCTTCCGTGGAGACATAGGCTTTAGACCTTATAACAGTGTAGATACCACCGACTGAAAACAACATCCTTTAGTTTAGTTACTTAATAACTACAATAATCCTGTCGTCAAATGAATGTAAAATGTACGAATGGCATGACTATATTTTTGATACTTAATTCTTTTTTTTTATTTCGTATCACAATAACAATTTGTCGCATCTATAGTACGTTATAAAAATAATAATTTATTTCGTTTACAACATGCTTTGAGGCCAATAGCTGCATAAAATACATTCAACATATGGCCAAAATGACCATACGGAATATTATTCGCAAACTAGGTTAACATCCTGTATTATGAGTAACTGTAAAATGGTAAATACAACGTCGTAGAACGGACAAGTCAAACTGGTTTCAAATAATACAAGTGTCCGAGCAAATGTCCAGCGAACAAAAGGCTATTGTATCCAGAACCTTGTGAGAAATAGAGCATTGCAGAGACGCCAAAGGAGTCAAATAACTGATAGACAAGATAATACAAAACGTATAGGATATATGTAACACATGACACATGGCGAAATTTACGACCTCACAGACCTCACCTCTGCTGTAAAAACGTAAGCGTCTTCACAAGTGTGAGGTGCGACTAGGTTTTTTTTTAATTCCGCTCGGATGGAGTTGCGGGCTAGTAGAAGTATAAACAGTGGTATAGCCGACATCATTGGATGGGTCAATTTTATCAGTAAAATACCACAAACTCACAGAAGACAAGCAATGACAAGCACGATGAAGTAGAGTATTTTGCAATCGGCCAATAATGATGTATTGGATTTCCTCTTCCTTACCGTATTTTACTAACGAAAGGGTGGGAAGAGCATAGATTCTCACCTTTGTTAGCCGCTTCCCAAGCAGTCTCAAATGTCCATCTGTTCTCCTCTATAGCTGCTTGCCCTCGGTCCATAAACGATAGCAAGTCGTGTGTGGACTCCGCCCGGTAAAAGCGACGGGACGACCTGTCGCGCGACATTGTCACCTAAAACAAGGCAATAGAGTTTAAAATACATTGGTATGTGCACCCTATTTGCTTTTGCAAATATTAATATAAGTTGTTTGCGTCTTTTTGCTTAAGAATGAATAATAAACTATTTAAATATATCTTATATTAAAATCTGGGCGTGTTCCAAAGACGCGTTTACTGTGACGTCAGGAAAATTATGTAAATAAATGCAAGAAGATGCACTTGTTATTACATTGTAGGTGTGTTGTTATATTTAAAGGTGAATATACACTAGAGCATTTTGTCTCTTACGAATTATGTATTAGGTGATAGCATAGATTCCAAAACAAATGTGGTTCTTGAAAAGGTGATACACTAGAACGTATCATAGAGTGGCTCGTTGATCTGTTACAAGTTAATGCTCTAGTCTATACTCACCTTAACATTTCTATAAAAGACTAGCAGTTGCCAACGACTTCGTCCACGCGGAATTAAATAAAATCTAGTAATCAATATTCTTCAAATAGAATAACTAAATCTGTTAAGTAGTTTCGGAGTAATACAAACAATCAAATCATATTATGTTAATATAGGTAAGCGAAAGTTAAAAGATTTGTTTATGATTACATTATAAAGGTGTAATATAACTCCGGTGTAAACAGAGACTAGACGAAAGTCAATACGTGAGAAACGAAAGCTTACTTACCACAGAGTATATAATATCGACAATCAGATTATCTAACTTTGACATAATTACCACATTTTACAACAGTAAGGGCGACCGATGTTCGCGGACGGCAGTAAGACTGTGGCACGCTTCGCCTACGTTACGTCAACGACCGTAACTAGTGTTCAAATTCGGGATACCGAAGTCAAATTAAGTCTAGATTCGAAACTAGTATGACTACAATTCTAAAGGACTAATCGTCGGTTTCTGAGACAAAAATATCTGTATAAAACATATCATTATCCCTCTCATTTTGTCAAAACCGAGATAAATTTTATCCACATTTTAGTCTCAGAAACCAATGATACATAATCTTTACGGACAGACTTAGTTTGGTTAGCTATTCTTATATATAAAATTTTCCTGTCACAGTGTTAGTTACTGTACTCCTCCGAAATGACTTAACCGATTTTTATAAAATTTTACATCTATATTCAGTAGGAATAGGCTACTATTTATTTTTTAATCCCGCACGGACGGAGTTGCAGGCGACAACTAGTGATTCCATATAATTTGATCATTTTAAAAGCTCCTCTTACAGCCATAGTTTTGATAATGTCAAGAATTAATTAAACATACTACATTTTATTAACTAAATCTGCCATGTGCTTCTTATTTTAAGGTTACGATATAACATAGTAAAGTCATTGATAAATATTTACTATACAGGTTGACATCTTATCAATTAAGGTCGGATGACCGTGACTGATAATATATAGAAGTAGTTCGTTTCAGTAACAAGATATTTCATACAAGTAATATGACACGAATTTAATTATTTTAAAGCAACAATGAACATAGATACTTTATCAGATTATAACAACAGTTGAAACTTGTAAAAAATATTATACGAACTGTGGGTTTCTGACATCAAAATCTCTGTATAAAACATATTGTCATCCCTATCATTATCTTTGACATAACAGAGATAATAATATATTTTAATTGGAGATTTTGGACTCAGAAACCCACTGTCAATATCTTTGAATTAAACTGCAATAAAATGTTTTTATATGAATGTTTTACTTCATATTGACAGAAAGTCAAACATTCCAGTCAAAAATCCTAATTCTCTGTCTACCCCTTATTTTATCATTATATTAATATTTACGGCTTTATAATTATATCATTTACATTTGACATATCCTGATAACGAAATACCAGTTATATAAACATGTTATCTTGAGAATAACAAGTTATTATCAAGCTATAACATATTACATTTTGTTGTCAAGTGAATTAAAGGTCTAATTCAACAAGTACATTGACTTCCACACTCACAGTTCTTGAATAGCTCCCTTTAGTGAAGAATTAGTATTAAAATTTGACACTAATATTGTCTACATATTGATATTCGGGTGTGTCTACATTACATCAGAGTGTTTTTTTGGCAAAGTATTCATTTCATTCATGAAACGTAATTATTTTACTTTATCTTTAATTATTATTTAAGTTATCAAAGTTTAAAAATTAATATTTTATTTCGGAAACAATAATACAGAATTGAAAAAAGCCATCTAAAATGTTTTAACCTTAATTTGTAATTTTAAAATTTGAATTTATTTTTATACAGTTTTAGTCAATTTTCTAATATGTATATAAAAAATCTCAATATATATATATATATATATATATATATATTGAGATTTTTTTGTTAATTACAGTGATATTGATAACATTTTACTTGTTTAAAAATATAATATATAAAATATTATTAAATTCTATAACTTTATTCGAAAGCATCAAACTATTAATATTCTAGTTTACAAATATTTTATTAATTTTTCAAGATATCTACCTACTTTTTCGAAAAAAAAATTAATACTGTTTATTTGTAGTTTTAAATTAATAAACACTAGAATGGCACATTTTATGAAAGAAAATTAGTACTAATCGTAACTATTTTTAACCACGTCAAAAAGTTAATTAAAGAAGAAGAGTTGGAGGCCAATGGACCATAAAAAAGTTCGCTCACCGATTAGAAATGAATACGAAAACGCCGATAGTTGAGAACTGCGTTATTTATAAATAAATCACTTATTTCACTGCATACGTGGCACTAATCGAACTTTTTTTGCAACTTTTATCACATACGTATTTATTTAGTACGTTACGGACACATAACACAAGACTGCGCGGGTAGAAAATTCAAATGATTTTTTTTTGTAGGTTATGAAACGTCAAACTGGAATAAGATCAAGGTGACCTTCAACTGACAATGAACGCTAATGTTGCCAGATTATGAAATCTCCCGCGAAGAAGACATTACTTGTAAAATAACATTAAAATATATTAATAGCATCTAAAAATTTTACAATTTAAAAAGAGTTGCATTCATAAATCTTTTGAGAAACTAAAAAATAAGTGAAGCGATTAACATAATTAAACTATTGAACATAAAACATATATTTCGTTTGCGCTTCTGGAACGGTGTTACCCACACTTGCTATAAAAACTGCCAAAATTTAGCAACGGGAAACTAAAATATTTTAAAATATTCAGTTTCTAGCCTTTTTTCTTACTTTTTCAATCAAATCTTTTCACTCAAGAATGATCAAAATTTTCGTATTTTATTAATAATTCAACTATTACTTTAAGAGGGAATAGAAAAAAACAAGAAAATCGTTCAGATAGCTAATAAAAAGAAAACAACAGTACTGAAAGAAAATATATTAATCAACAAAAATAACAATCAAGAATTAGGCAATTAAAATACTGATTCTTTATATCGCAATAAACGTCTAATGAAATGTACAATTTTTACATTATATGCAAACTTAATTACTATTTACATATTAAAGACAATCTCAGCCAAATTATATGAAAATTAAAGGCACAGCTCAATTTCCCCATGGTAACTATAAGCAACTAATCATGTTTTGAGGTAGATCATAGTAATTTTTTTGCGAATAATTAACTTACTCTATTGTAGTTAGTGTGTAGTATAAAATAAAATGCAAGTACAATCCTTAAAACTAAACAATACTCAATCCAAACTCAAAGGTGGACTGACGTCAAATTCTTCCGCAAACGGATCAACTTTTTCACCGCCGTCAATCACTTGAGGGTTACTAGAAAAATTTAATTTAACTGGATTTGCGTTTCTTTTCATATGCTTATTACACATTTCGGGAGTCGATTCTGTACAACTTATGCTGCTATTTGATTTTTCATGTAATTTCTCACTGGCAACACTATTTAAATTATCATTTCTCGAAGCCAATGGGCTCTTGAATTCTTTTGTTGCATTTATCGATTTGTTTATTATATGAATGGCTTTCAAAGGTGGAGGTTCTCCGTACATTTTTAGTTTTGCTATTTTTTCATTTATTTTCTTTTTTCTTAATAATAAATCAGCCGGTACATCTTGTGTGTCGATTTGTTTGAAAGTCGACTCAAAGTCTAAGCCACTAAGATTCAAAATATCATCAACGTGATCAGGCTTACGGGCCAATGGAGAATCAATAAATGCTTTATGTTTTGATATATTATAGTCACTATAGTTGATTCTGTAAGGTGAAATATTTTCAACATTTTTAAGCATTGAATTATTATTCTTTATGGCAACACAACTTCCACAGAGTTCTTTAATATTTATGGAAGATAATCTTTTGTTTAAATCGTCCATAATTATTCTAACATTGGAATGTTTAGACGTTTTTGTGAAATAAGAGTACTCAGTGGCTCTATACTGTGGTATACCTTTTCTAGAATTTCCCGTCCTCTTCTGTAGATTCATACAAGCGACAACTAAACCGACATCGAGTATATTTTCATATCCGTACTTTTTTAATCCACCCCAAAAATTGACGCAAATTATATTTTTATCTGTATCTGTCAAGTAGACATTTTGGAAGTGTTGCCCTTTTATTGCTTCAAATTGAGCGATAGATGGCTCTATTAAAAATATTAATCCTGCTACATCAACTTCATTGTATTCTGTGACAGATATGGGCATTTTGACCAAACTTTCAATAGTATAGCATGTTCTTTTGAGACTTGCGACTATTTTTTGATCTTTGTCATTGACTTTATAGTTAGATCGACTGAAAACTGTCTGTCTCCCAGCGGACAGTTGTATTTCTGAATATCTGAAACATATAAATTAATTTTACTTAATACATATTTTGAATGTAGCTAATAAAATGCCTTTCTTTTTTTTATAATAAGGCGGCAAACGAGCGAGCGGTCACCTGAAAACGCTGAAACAGCGAAGTGACCGTTGCCCATAGACATACGCAATTGTATATGCATTGCCTAACTTTAATCGACGGAGGAGAGGATGCACAGAAAGAAAATATATTCCCTTTCTATGCATCCTCTCATCCGGAAAGTTCATTTCCACTTCCCATCCCTTCCTTATAAGAAAAAGGTGGGAAGGGAAAGAGGACTAAATTAGGCCTCCGGGACGCACACTCATCAGACGAAACACGGAATTGCTTCCACTTGAGGCCTGTCTTCTGTGTGGTCGTGGTATTTCACCGGGCGAGTTGGAACAATTCGTGCGAAGATGTTAAAGCGGGCTCTACCACTGTTAAATTTTTATTTATTAAGCTAATACCTTTTAGCTGTGGGTACAATATTGAAGGCGTCGATCCAAGTTCCTTCTTTTATAATTTCTATTACCGCTTCATTTGGTCGCCATATTGACATCATCGCTGGAAAATAATACATTCAATTACTAAATCAATATTATATTTATTTAATACTAGCTGTTGTTCGCGACTAGGTCTGCGCGGAAATAAAAAAAATTATAAGTAGTCTTCCAGACTATGTTCTCCGTCTATACTAAATTTTAGCAAGATCCATGCAGCCGTTCTGGAGAAACCTTCTAACCAACATCCATCCATCCATCCAAACATTCGTATTTATAATATGTTTTTGAGCATATGTATTACCAGTGAACACATACTTTTTCCATTTGTCACCATCTAAGTATTGTAGTCAACTAAAATTTTTACTTTGGATAATAAAAAAATTGTACTTCAAAAGAAAACTCAATACAAGACCTGTATAAACTAAAATACACAATACCTTTAGAAACCTCTCCATCATCACCAATATCTGCAACCCTGATCTTCATCACGGGGACAACATTCCTGGCTAATTGTAAACCTTGCTCCTTCACCCTGTCATTGACCTTATCATGTAGGGCCTGCAAGATATGCTCTCTCCGTCTGTCTGTATATCTTTGTAGTCTAGTACATTGTGTGCTTGTCAGATTTGCCTGAAGACACAGATTTTAGTCTATAAGTACAATTTATACAGCTTTTATATTTAAAAAAAAGTTCACATAATATTAAATTGTTGAAAAGACAATATTCATCTAGAATAATATTATTAATTAATTAAAAAAAAGAGTTGATTGTCTATGACACTCCGGGGAAGAGCGTCGGTGGCTCAGTGGTCAAGCACTTGACTTGCAATCTGCAGGTCCTGGGTTCGAATCCCGCCATCTACCAATGTGTTTTTCGATTTCCGATTTACATAAAATATGTACATTTATCCGACGTTCTTACGGTGAAGGAAAATATCGTGATGCAACCTGCGCATATCTGAGACGAAATTCAACGATATGTGTGAAGTCAACCAACCCGCACTTGGCCAGCGTGGTTGGCCTAATCACCCTTTACTTAGGGAAGGCTCCGAGCCACTCGGTGGGGACGTATAGTGAGCTGATGATAATGATGACTCCGGGGAAGAATACGAATCGAATGACACCTCACTAGTCTTAAACGGTTAGGTCTTTTACGCTGTCACAAAGAATTTATATAAAAACTTATATACGCGCGAATACATAGGTACATAATAATTACATACAGAGATATTGAAATTCTAATATAAATGAAGATACATACAACAAATTCCCCGGAATCTCGACTCCTCTTCATTACTCTATGTATCTGTGAGCCTGTCTCCATATTTCTGAGATCCACATCATTTTCTGAATCTTGAGATTCCTAGTACACAAAAGTTTTGCACATTTACCACTAGATGTCGCTATTATGAAGACTGCTCACTGTCTTTGTTTTATCTTAGCAATAAAACAAGTATAATAAACTGTCGCCCGCAACTCCGTGCGCGCGGAATAAAAAAAACATAATTAGTAGCCTAAGTGTTTTTCCAAATCTCAGCGAAATCTGTACAGTCGTTCTGAAGATACCTTGAGACAAACATCCATCCAACTAAACATTCGCATATATAATATTACTAAGATTGATACCGATAAACAAAATGCACACAGTCTCATGTTTTATGTGTGCCACTGATTTCTATAAATGGATAGGCGATTGCTTGAAAATAACAGTTTTTATTCGTTCCGATTTAATCGCACCTGTTGATATTACGTGACAGTTAATTCTATTAATATTAATAGTTCGGATCCACAGCACCGTTACAAACCACTACGATAAGCGTCAAAATGACGAAAATCAAATACGCACAAACTACAACGTCTTATTGCCACTCCATTTATTGAGGTCAATGATGTGTGCGCATATAGTTTTTTATTGAATATTTGTGGTTTTATGATCAAGCCAGTTCTTTCAAATTAAAACTTTTACTTCTGTTACTTACCTCGTCCACAAATTCTTTCTGTACTTCTTCGTGAATCTTCTCCAGAAGAGTCTGTCTGTCAGATTCGAATTTCATTTGGTACAGATGTTCCAGACGCTCAGATCTCGTAACTAAAACGATAAATGTTAAGATCGCCAGTAATAAAAATGTTACCATGAAAAAAAACAACAACTTGTCTTTTTTTTAAATCAAAAAAATAATCGAAAATTACTTTTTACCTGTACTCCCATTATCAAACTTTTCGACATAAAGCGTTGGATACACTCGTGTGACAAGAGCGCATAGTTTTGACACTTTCCCGCCTTCTAGCTGGACACATGACAGCCGACTCAAGATGGCCGCCCCGCTGTGGTAGCCAAGCTTGGCATCCCAGCGCGCGCGCCGAGTTGAATTTCCGAAGAGTTTTAACCTTACTGAAGAAATATCCTAAAACATGGAGACTGTTTCTTATAAACTAAATTAAAACTAATTAAAAATCGCTAAGAGTGGAAACAAACGACGCAGCAAAAGAGAGTGAAACAGATAGAAAGTGAAAAAGCGAAGAGAGAGAGAAGACATAGTACTTTTATCAATAAAGATTACCTCCCATGGTGCAATTCCTTGTTCACAATTCAATAATTCAGCGCCATTTGTGACTAGTTTAGTGCCGACTCTTATCTTCTGGTCTTTGACCAGTCTTATCAACATCTGGTCTAGACTTGCCTTTATGCAGTACCAACCATCAGTTAGAAGCAGTTCAATATTGTTTGTATCAGGCATACTGTAATATTATTTTTTTATTGCATAATTATTGTGTTAAAGAAATTAAAGAGGTTATACTATAAATTTAACAAATAAGTCGGCACGTCATGACATATTAAAACCTTAATTCCTCTAAGGCAACTAACCACGCGACTTTTGAAGCTACTTTTCAGGCATTAGGCGAAGTTTGTCTCAAACGATCAAAGTCGCGTTTTGTAAATAATTCGTATAGGGGTTTAAAGTTTAAAATAAAACCTTATATTTACGAACCTCTTTGCTATCACACCGTCTACATAAATTGCGACCACTCTTAATACCATTGTCTTTGAAGACACGTCATCTTTTTCTAACAACTTTCTTAACACAGGCCTTTCTACACTGTACAATTCTCTATCATAACGATATTTTAATTGTTCTAATACATTTTTAACAGAACATATTCCTTGCATAGACTTTCTATATTCCATTTCATATGAAATCAATTTAAAAATTACCAATTTCATATGATTGTCTAACCAACCATTGGGTATTATTTTACTATTAACTAAAGATAAAAAATATTTCTTCAAATCTTCTGTATTCCAAGTTACGTCGCTAATTTCATTTCTTTTATTTGCAAATTCGAAATTTAATACGTTATCGTAATTAAACGTCAAAATATATGGATCTACATCAACCATAGACTTATTAATCTCAATATTCCTTAATGATTTCAAAGACAATTTATTATTTTTCTTATAATTTTTATCAAATGTAAACGTTATAGAAGAATTTTCTTCATAAGTATCTTTTTCTTTGGGTTTTATTTCGGGGATTTCCCATTTACTGTATGGCACCTCAAATTTTTTAGGCTTCTTAGCTCTTGGACACGACAGAATAGGGCTACCACATCTCTTTTTATTTGGTATATAATTACAAAAATCTTCAGTATAAAAAGTATCTTCAAAGTTATTCAATAATTGAGTGTTAATTATATTTTCTATGCTACCCTCATTTTTTCTGTGGGTACTTTGAGATAAATTATCTTCAATAACTTGATCATTTTCATTTAAATCCATCAATATTCTTTTAGATTTAATAAATGCTTCTTCAGAGATTTTAATATTATTATTATTTGCAGTTTTAAATAATAATTCAAAGTTATTTTTTTTGCTTGAAATTTTACTAATTGGAGTAATATTTTCTATTGATGGAATTTTAAAGGGAATTTGTTTGTTTTCTTCGTTTAAATCTTGTGATATGTTGTCAACTATAAATGTATTGGATACTTTAATTCTTTTACTATTTGGTACATCTCTATTTTCTTCTTTAAACATGTATTGATTGTTTTTGGGATTATATCTTTTAAATACGTTAATTTTCTTATCACGTTCATTAGTATTTATAAAATTATGCTCAGTTATTTCTCTGTTGTTTTTATTTTCTTCATTTTTATCATTATTTAAATCTAAATCTAAAAACAAATTTTTACTTTTGACTAAAGCTTGTTCTGACACATTTATAAGTTTATTACTTGCTGATCTAAAACCATTAAAACCTTGATGAATTGCAAAGTCTTGTTCTGTGATTTGCATTTCTTTTGGTAAGTTACGAAAATTTTCACTTTCAGTTTGTATATTATCAAATTTAGTTTGAATAATTGGGTGACTTCTCTCATTCATATTAGTTTCATTGAAGTTATCACTTATTTGTAAATATTCAAACAATTTCTTACTTGCAGCTAAAGATTTTGATGAAACTTTAACTTTCTTATTACTAGCAGTTTGAAAACCTTTAAAAAATTGATTCGTAATAATTTCTTTGCTTTGATAATTTATTTTTGCTTTACAACTTCCAACAAATTCATCCATCAAATTATTAAGTTTACTTCTTGTGTGAATATTGTCAGATATTTTCATTTGATTGGTATTCGGTATTTTAAATTGATTACACATATTGGAGTTACTTTCCAGTGTAACTTTAATATCGTTACGTTCTGTATCTCTTCTCTGTCTTGTCTCACATTCTCTTTCACTCTTTATGCAACTGTCAATATCTTCTAATATCTTCTTGCTTTTTATCATAGCCTCTGATGATATTGCAATGGGTTTCTTGCTAGCTGTTATAAACCCACATGCTGTGTTACATTCTATATTAACACTGTTTTTTAATAGAATATCTGATGAAATTTCCTCATTTATGTCTTGATTTAGTTGATCATTTGCGTCTTTATTTTTATGACTTTCTTTTTCTCTATTTATATTTTCATCATTGTCAACTTCATTAAAGAGATTTAAATCTTCGAAAATATTTTTTGTCTTCGCTAAAGCATGTTCGGAAATTTTGATTTTTTTATTATTTGCCGTTTTGAAACCTACAAATTTTTCTTTATTAATATCTACAATTTTATGTTTAATGTGTAATTTGTCGCTATTACTTTTTGAAAGCTTTTCTTTAGATTTAATGTCTTCTATCATATTTTTATTAAAGCCTTTATTCTTATTTTCTATGGGATTTTCACTCTTATTATGTTGTTTCTTCTGTAGATCATTAATAGGTGGTGCTATTAAGTCATTTTCAAATTCTTGAAGAATTGTTTGATCACTTAATGCTATTTGTTCTGATACTTCAAGCGATTCATTTTGATCTTTATTATTATTACATTGAGTTTTAATTTTGCTTGTTCCATCAATGTCTACAGCTTTATGTATTGTGCTGCATGAATTAGTTATTGGCTCGTTAGTATCAAATATTTCATTAATGTCTATATCTTGAAAAACCTGACGACATCTTGCTAAAGCTTTATCAGATAAATTGATTTTCTTACTACTTGCTGTTTTAAATCCAATTAAACAATCTTTTGTGTTTGTAGGCTTATTTACAACTTGTTTGAAATCACCATCATCAAGTTTGTTATAAAAATTAATTTGTTCGGTTGTTAAATTAAGTTTTTTGGTAGCACAACTAGTGTTTGTATTAGTTTTTAAAATATTGCCACCATATTCTTTACCGTAAAGGTTTTCCGTTTTATACACTGATGCTGGTTTATCTATGTCAACACCATCATTTGATTGATTCTTACTTGTATCATCACATAATTCAACTAACTCCATAATCGTTGGATTATTGTGATCATCATCCAGATCTAAATCATCCAGAATATTCTTAGCCTTGCAAAATGTATCTGTATGAATTTGTATACTCTTATTACTAGCTGTTTGAAAACCTACATACATTGTTTTGTCTAAGACAGGACTGATATTTGATGGATTTGTCAAAGAGTTTTCTAATCTACATGTTTCTGGTAATTTTATAAAATTACCATCTTCGTCATACTCTTCATCACTACAAAATATATCTTCTTCAAAGGATTTCTTTAGTTTTGTTTCTATTATATCATTTATAACTTTATCAGGTTCTTTGAACTGTTCTTTATCTATTCTGTTAAAATCTACTTCATTATTCTTAGTGTTTCCTAATATTCTATTTGTTAGTATTGGACTTTTAGATCTTTCTTTTCTTATAGTGGCATTTACACATGTTATACACAATTCTTTGTCTATAATTTGTGAATTTATAATTGCCTTAGCTAAATTAACATCGGGATTTTGTTCGATAACTGGAAATGCTAATGTTTCGAAATTTTCAAAAGCGTCCAATGTATAAATTAATGATTGGGAAGTTTCAGGAAGTTGTAATTTGTTATGACCAATAATAGGACTCAATGTTATGCTATTTTCAGAATTAGGATCTTCTTCATTGTTTTCAAAGTCTTCACCGATTGAATGTGTGTTTTGTTTTTCCTTATCATTACAGATTTTAGATGTACTTGGTACATTTTCTAATTTACTATCCATAGAATCTGGTGCTTTATGCACTACTAAGTTAGGTTCTATTCTGGTTGCTATTACAGGTGACACATTTAGTAAGTTTTTCTTTTCTTCAATATGATGTTCACTGAAGGAATTTTCAAATTCCTGTGTTGCACCTTTTGGTGTTGCCAATATTTCAGCGTTGACAACAATATTTATAAGTTGTGTATCTGATACACCTTGGGTTTCAAACTTGTGATAACTTTGTGGTGGTCTCTGGAAAATTAAAAACACATTTATAAAAATAATGCAAGAAGTCTAAAGTCCGATTGTACGTAATTTGTAAGCAATATATTTACATTACTGTCTAAAAATAATAAATTAACTGGTTCCAAAGCTGGCTTTACAACATTCATAAGTCTTAGCCTATTTTTATAGCTTTTAATACCATCCGCTCTTTGTAATGCATTCAACTGCTTGGAAACATTTGATAAAACATCCTTTGGAGTATAATGTTCTTTGGAACAAAGCTTAGAAGCAACTTCTTTAGTGTAGATCAATTGTTGTTTTCTTATGTTGCTGTTTTTGAGTATCGACTCAAAATTTATGACATTTTCACTATCTTCAGCCATTACTGTACAAATTTATATAACATTACTTAAAGAGTAATAAACAGTATTTAATTGTTTTATACTTCTAGTTTTTGTTTAGATTTTATGTTTCCACTTTTTAACTTTTATTTTTACAAACACCAAGCAAGTTTTAATCTATTGACATTGACTTTTGACACTGACATCAGAATCTTAGCAGATTATAACATTAAGCAGATTAAAATAATAAATTTTAAGAGTAAAGGCAACACAAAATGTAAATGTATGTTTTTCATTTGTGTTGTTCTTCAGTTCCACCGTTCATGGTTCCAGTATAATAATTTTAAATCAAAATTGATGTTATGAAACTTGCTTTTCTTTTCTCAAATATTAACTTGTCTATGGTCCATATTATTTTAATAATCTGTCTTTCTGACCGCCTATTTTCATTTTATGTTTTCTGTGGTACGAATATAATCTGTAGCAGAGTTTGAGAGTAAAAAAATACACCTATATTTTGTGAATTTACAGATAATTCTAGAAGTTTTGTTACTTCTATTTTGCAAAAAGCAAAATAATTTCCACGCTTGCGCTTTTCATTCCTTAAAATGGTAGATACTTTTAATATTACGAAAAATATCCGGGAAATGAAAAATGGAGGTAAAACTAAGGTTATGTTTGATTTTTCAGTCGCACACAATTCTTCTAGTCCAGCCTGGTTCCAGGCCAGAAACCAGAACGTACTCGGATTATGAGAGCGTCAATGACTGTATGGAAGGCGTATGTAAAATATACGAGGAGCATTTAAAGAGAAAAAACCCAAATACTCCGACGATAACTTACGATATTTCCCAGTTGTTTGATTTCGTTGATCAGGTAAGGTAGTTTACAAAAAAAATACTTCTAGATACATTATAAATGTACTGTTGCTAATGTTGTCGTAATTATTTACAGCTAGCAGATCTCAGTTGTTTAGTATATCAGAAATCAACAAATACTTATGCTCCATATAATAAAGATTGGATAAAAGAAAAAATCTATATCTTGCTTCGTCAAGCAGCTGGTCAAAGCGACTAGAGGAGACAGTAATCTTAAGTTTGTGTATAGTTTAATTGTGGTGCAAAATACACTGAATGATAATGTTTGAAAATTTTTGGGCAGTAGCAGTAAGTTTGATGAAAAAGTAAGAAATTCATTTGGTACAAATATGGAAAAGCAATAACGATTGATGACTGACCACTATATTAGCAAAACTGCTGTTTAAACTACTAAAACTATTAATAGTTTTGTGCAGTTTTTAATAAGATTTGGTGATACAACTATAAGCTTAATATTAGGTTTGGTAAATTTGTAAAAAATACACTACAAATTGTAACAATAAAAAACAGCAATTTATCAATTTGATAGTTCATTTATCTCAAATTTAAATATTATTTAGTATTTCAGATTATAGTTATAAATATTTAACTAAGAGTTATGTTTATAACTCTTTGTTCTTCAAATTATTCTATTATTAATATCCAGTAAAAATGATAATTTGGTTAATATTTAAAATAATTTTTGTGTGATTTCTCATGGCCCTAACAAAACAGCATATAAAATTGTTTTCATAAATACATGTCTATTTTGACTTACAATAGTTGATCTACGGTCAATGTTTATAAGAAACATTATCTGATAATTTGTAAGTCTTGTTTTGACTTTATGCCATCACATATATTTTTTTTAAATTTGATACAAAAAAAGCACTTGATGAAAAATTACAGCAATACTTTTCTATATAATAAAATAAACATAAGTTTCAATGAACCATTGATTTTTTTTAATAATCTAAACAAATATTTAATTTACTAAAAAATGTTTTTACTACAAGTAAGGGTAGTGTCTTTATTTCTGTTGATTGACATTAGGTTACTGACTTAATCTATAACACATAGATTAAGCAGTCTTTATATATTTTTTATTCTCGGGGCTAGACAAAGTGCATTCGCTTGGAAGCGTTTCATGACGAATTTCAAAAATGGAACTCAGGCTCGAAAATCACGTGACTTATGTAAATTGTCGATTATATACATTTTTGAAGATCGTTATGGAATCACTTTGGAGTGTCTTCTAGCCCTGCTACTTACTGATAAAGTAGGCAGATAAATGCTTTAAAAAACTACTTTTTTCATTATATGGGTCTTTTTTTGTATTACTATTTATTAATATCTAGTAATTTTCTTATCCACAATTGTTGTATAATGCACTTTGGTGCACAATTTATTTACATTGAAGTCATATTTTGTGCACAGGTTGAGTTCATTTTTGTTAATTGTCATAAGTTAAATAAATAAGATAATTTTTGTAATTGGTTTTTAATTGTTTCCTTTTACCCCTTAATATAGTAAAGTAGCATTTTTGTTTACTAGTATATCTTGTACCGTTTTAACTAAGGTCCAGGCTTTGAAAGTCGGGATTTGAACCCTCTACCATAAGATTGGATGTCTGTCCCCATAACCATTAGGCTATTGGTGGTTCAATATTAATTTCATCAACATTTTTTCTTTACAACATTTTATTGCAAAATAACAGTATGAAGTGAAAAAGGAATTTAAATCTTACTAATGTTATAAATCCGAATGTTTAGATGGATGGATGTTTGTTTGAAGGTATGTCCTGAACGGCTGCATGGATCTTGTTTAAATTTGGCATAGATATAGAAACATAGTCTGGAATAAGACATAGGCAATAAAGTTTTTTTTTTAAACTGCGCTGACGGAGTCAAGGGCGTCAGCTCGATGGTGTATAAAATAAAAAAAACACACAAAAATACTATACAAATTTAATGTACAATAATAAAGTTTGTGGAATATTTACACACTTTTATGACTATAAGTGAAATTAATAACAAAAATATGGTACATTCGAGATACTTACATAAAACAAAGTGCTCAACAAAGTAGATACATTTACAATAGGAAGAACTGATCATTTACATTTATACAAACAAAATCTAAAAAAAAAAATAATTGAATTTCCACATGTTACCTCCGCCAATATATTTTATTAAAAAAAAACTCTGTTTTAATACAAATGGAATTTTACAACAAGATTTTTGTAAATTTCTAGATTTTTGTAGCTTTCTTTATGATTAATTATAAAAAAAATATTACTGAAATAAAATAAAATCTAAGGGTTATACAACAATAAAATACAATAAATTGCACAATAGCAACATAACGAAATAATTTTCCCTCCAATAAATCTAACCTCAAAATCTTTGTAAAAGTACAAAACTGCAAAATGTTTTGTGACACCAAATAACTATTATTAAGCCCAACCATTAATAATTATATCTATATATCTTTAAAACTATGATTTGCCAAATTACAACATAATGGTCTTATGTTCCCTGGTATTCTATTGCCAAAATATCTAAAAAAACATCAATTTTGTCAGATGAGTCAATAAACCAGAGACTTTTCTTGTAAGTTGGCAAATCTTTTTTGTGAATCATTATTTCCTGTGATGTTCTATTGTCTTAACGCATACATTGGCCCAAGACGGACGCACCGCACGCACGGTCCGCAACGGATTTTAGTGTGCTTTGTATGATTTTACATAGCGCTGGGTTCATCGTTCGCGAAGCCCGCATTGAAAGACGGCATTTATCATCAAGCAATCCGTTGCGGGCTGTATATGCGGTGCGTGCGGAACGGGCCAATGGAAACGTACCTTTATAATATTGTATTTGATATTCATTAGGCCATTGGCAGTAAATTGGACTGTATTATGTATTTACTAGAAACTTCGAGAAGTTTCGATGTTATAAATCTATATGGTCATTTTTACATATATAAAACATCTAACTAAATAATGTGGTCAAAAAATTTGACTGTTGGACTGTTTAAAATTTGTGAAAAAATCTCCATTCAGGCATATGGCAAAATTTTATGATTTATTGAATTTTCTTAGTCTACCCTTATAACATTCGAAGATTTTTTTTTATAAATTCTAAGCTTTTACATTATAGTATTAATATATTTTTAATAATATCTAGCCACACTATCCATACAGCTAAAATTTCAACGATATTTTGACATTTGTTATTTGAAAAATTTTAGTACTATTAAAAAAAATTAAATAGTTTTCAGGAATCACGTAAATTTTTCTATAAAAAAATATTTTTATTGATATGTATGATATTTAGAAATGAGAAAGCAAAAGTGTTTATATTTCTCAATAAAAGTCGAAAATTTAAACAAATAATTTCATATTGTTATTCTCAAACGAAGTCCGATCGGTCCAACGGTCATACGGCCCAATGGGATTTTTTTGACTGTATGGAAAAAATCCTATTAGGCCGATTGATCAGTCCAACGGCAAACAGCATTACATTTTTTTGTTGTTAAAAAAAGCTTTACCATTTTAGTCGAAATATAAGATAGTATTTAAAATTCCAATTAGGTTTTTATGAATGTTATTTTCTTAAAAGAAAAATAAGTTTATGACTATAAAATATTATATTTAAAATGAAAGTTTCCTATATCTTAAAATCCCGCTGACCATTAAATGTAATCACATAAAAATCTTTAGAAGAATACAATAATACTGTACAAATCGTTATTTTTATTTCTACCCACACTTCTTATATCTTTTATAATAACAAATTATATATGCTTTCCAATTTAATATATAAATCAATATAATTCTGTCCAAAATTTATTTTCTGGTAACACTATTTGCGACTTTTTTAAATGTCAATTATCTGACGTATGAATGACGTCAACCATATTTGAATTTCGGACAAATAGTATATTATTTTGATGTACTTAAAACTAAAATAATAAGTCAAAGTTTATTTATTATCAGTGGTTTAAAATCAACTTAATTTATCCCATTTTAAATTTTAAAAGAAACAAAAATATAAGGTTTTTTATAAGAAATTCTTTAGTCAAATCAAAACTGATTTTCATAGATAAATTTAATATAACGATGTAGTTTTAATTCAAGTATAATGTCTAAGCGAAAGTCAATTTTTTTAATTGTTATTTTATATTTTAAATGACAAAATTGAGGATTTAACCAAAAAAAATGCCGGAGTCCTTTTTTTGTATCACTTTTGTACTCCGGATTAGTTAGGAAAGGTATGGACAGGTTGCTTATATCATCATCATCATCATCAGGTATACGTCCCTACCGAGAGGCTCAGAGCCTACCCTAAGTTAAGGGTGATTAGGCGATAGTCAACCACGATGGCCAAGTGCGGGTTGGTTGACTTCACACATATCTTTGAATTTCCTCTCAGATATGTGCAGCATCTCGATGGTTCATACAAAATGTATTTATTATGAGTATTTTATATAAACTTTAAATAAAGAAAAATTGTGAATGAGTCTTTGGTTAAATATAGCCAAAAAAAATGTTGCCATTAAAATAATTTATTAAATGGATATTTGCTACCAGTTTTGATTTAAATAAACCACTTTTGACATAAGATTTCTTACAAAGGACCAATATTTGTCTATTTTCAAAGTATAGTGTACTGTTTTGGTAACCATATGATAGGATTATTTTTCAAAAAATATTATTTTTTTTACAAATGATTATGTTATGTATTTGTGAAAGACATTTAAATAATAGTGATTTAAAAACATTCTGTACCGTAATATTAAATATTTAATTGCGTCCCGGAGGCTTAATTTAGTCCTTTTTCCCTTCCTACCCTTTTTCTTTTAAGGAAAGGACGGGAAGTGGAAGTGAACTTTCCGGATGAGAGAATGCATGGAAAGGGAAGATATTTTCTTTCTGTGCATCCTCTCCTCCGTGGATTAAAGGTAGGCAACGCGTATGCAATTGCGTGTGTCTATGGGTAACGGTCACTTCGCTGTTTCAGCGATTTCAGGTGATCACTCGCTCGTTTCCCAACTTACAATATAAAAAAAAATGACTCAAATACTCGTGATATCAAAAACCAAATAACTTTTCCTACAAAAATTTCTTTAAAAATTCTATATTTTTTTCAAAGACATAACGTTTTTGTATTGAAGTGTCAAAATTGTAATATTTCTGTAAACTATTACCTTCAGAATAGTTTTTGTGTTAACACGCTGAGTGCCGACGACTCGCCTCACCGGGCTTCGATACATTGTAAAAGTGATAGTGGTGAACGTGTTAATGTCAAAGCATATTATACCTTATTTGGTTAGCGGTAAGGTCTATTCACTGTCGCTGTGCATTTTCCTCTTCCGTTTGCCTTTCGGATGAGCTTTGTACATGTGTTTTCTTAAATCTTTCGCTTTCAAGTATCTGAAATTGAAGAAACAGTTGTTTATTGTGCTTAAGCTATATTATCTCTCACAAATTTATCAAAATCAATATTTTAAAATGCATTAAAATTAGCTTGCTTTACAAATTTGGTTAAAATATTTCTAATATTATAAATGCGAATATTTAGATGGATATTTCATGTTACTCCAGAATGAACAGCTCAACGGATTGCGCTGAAATTTAAAAAACTTAATAAGTATCCTATATGTTCTTCCAGACTAAGTTAGTTTTTCTTATTAAACTGTAAATTAACACATTTCTGTGACCTAAACTGCGTTGTACACTACGCCTACGAAATTTTGGATGGCATAGTTAAGGAATTAAATTCCGTTCCCACCCCTTCTCACTTTAACATCGTACAGAATTACGATGATGTGTTCTAGAGCTAAAAGCAATGTGAAGGAAATATATATTTGTTTGTGTCATATACCTGCATGGACACTGGTTGCAGGGGAACTTGAAGCTGTCAGGGTCACCATGCACGCGCTGCTCATGACGCTCTCGGATCTCCGCAGACACAAATGATCGATGGCATGTAGGACACTCGAATGGTTTCGCTGAATTGTGAGACTGTACACAAAAATCATTATATAATTAACATATTCAAAGTTAAAAGGTAAGTAGGGGAACAGAAAGGGAGATTTTTGGTTTTTTGAACATGGCAGTTAAACCTAAGAGAACTTGGTAATTGAACTCTATATAAAACCGCGTTTTTAGGGTAGCCATTATACTAATTCGTTAGAATCCCGGTCATATTCCCAGGGAGGCTCTGGAATGGATCAAGTTAGGAACAAGAAGACGTGGCTATCTTAAACAAACTTGGGCTGACATGGCCCGAGTCCTAACGCAGAGCGTAAGATGAGCGAACTGGTGGCGCACTGTAGACGACTTCTGCCCCACATAGGACACAAGCTTTTAAGTCAAGTTATAATACTAAGTAAAAGAAATCGGTCGTTATAAATACTGAAGCGCGTCAAATTAAGACAGGATGAGTTTAATATATTCAGCTTATAGCTAAAGCACTAGTTATAACAATTTCTTAAATCTTTAACGTAATGGAAGACATCAATATCAGCTCACTATAACCTGCAACCTGCACATATCAAAGAAGAAATTCAAAGATATGTGTGAAGTCAACCCGCGCTGTGCCAGCGTGGTTGATTATAGCCTAGTCACCTTGCTTAGAGTAGGCTCCGAGCCTCTCTGTGGGGACATATAGTGAGCTGATAATGGAAGACATACAAAAACAGAATTGTTAACATCCTTTCATACCAACAGATGGCGCTAGTAGTTAAAATAGAACACACTAATGAGTTCACCCACTCACCACTTTCAAATGTCTCTTAAGACTGGAGTTAGTACCGAAGCTGGTGTTGCAAATTTCACAAAGGAATGGCCGCTCGTTCCTGTGTGTGCGCTCGTGCACCTGGACAGTAAACAATGTCTTAACATAATAAGCATAGTGGAAACTGGATTCGCCGAAACAGCGAAGCGATCTCTGCCCATAGATATCCGAAATTGCAGATGCGTTGCCTATTCGACGGAGAAGGGGACAAAGTAACAGAGAATATTTCCCCTTCCAATGCATCCTCTCTACGTTCAATTCACTTTTCCCTCCCATCATTTCTTAATGAAAATGGTGCGAAAGCAAAGAAAACTTAAAGTGGGCATCTAGTATTTAACACTTTCAATTCCACTAAGATTTTTTTTATATTAAAATGAACTCACAGGACAACTTGACTTTTTAAATAGATATTTTATGAGATTAATTGTTATCTTTAGCCATATTAAATAGTGTGGTTTTACCTGCAAACTGTAAGACTCAAAGAAGCCCTTCCCGCAGTATGTGCAGTGGAAGGTGGTCCCTCTGAGCACACGTTCGTGAGTCTTCATATGCATCTTCAGAAGCTTCACCGATCCAAACATCTTCGGACATTGTTCACAGCCGTGTGTTTTCTCCTGAAATATTACAATATACTTATATGTTATGTTTCAAGTTGTATATTAATTTTAAACATGATCCAATCCAATTCTATGAATAAGTTTCACTTATTTCCAACTAGATGGCGTTGTTTTTTTTCTTGATTGTACATATTTAATCTGACGTATTGAAACAGATTATATTCAAAATGACCATTTATAGAGTCAAACCTGGATTAGCGAGAGTTTAGTGGACCGAGATATTCTTACTAATTGTGATGGTCCTTCGAGACCGGACAATGACTGTGGTCTATAGAAATTTCTAGTTTATCCGGGGTTTGACTGTAATTAACTACTTACCAAATGTGTATCTCTATGCTTTGCCAGTGAATGTGAATACTTGAATCGTTTAGGACAATCACTACACTGGTAGCCAGAGTCCGTTGTATGAGTGGTCAAGTGGGCTCGCAGAGCTATCCAGCCTAAGACTGTTTTACCACAGATCTTGCAGTCCCGAACTCTTGTTGGATGATACCTGGGTTATATGAAAAAAATATTATTAAAATATAGTACAATTGATATGGATAAGCAAGAGTCATTGTCCCGACAACCTCCATAAGCAAGAAAAAAATTATGATTCCTTGAACTCTTGTTCATCCAGGTTTGACGGTATAAAATTACTAGGAACTTAAATATAGTAAAAATTGTTTAATACTACAACAGTTTACACAAAAATTATGTTGAACTAAAAAAATATTTGAATTGCAATTGAATTTTAGTGTGGATTTCCACTGATAATATACTAACACAAATGTATCATATATCATGCTTATAAATGTGAATGCTTGGGTGGATGGATGGATGTTAGTAGTACCGCGCGCGCGCAAACACGAGTCACTTGTGTCCGTTTATTTTATTCGGTTTTTCAGGAAAAATGTCTCCTTCTGACTTGCAAACTACTTTACGTGATTTATCGAAGACTGTGGCAATGTTGGTAACAAAAATCAACGAGCAAGCAGTCGCGATTAAAGCGCAAACTAAGAAAATAGACGATCAAAAACAGCTGATTGAAAAAAATTTTGTAATAATTAGTGAACAGAAGAGGGTAATCGCGAATTTAGTCATTAAAGTGGACAAGCTTGCTGCGGTCGCGGACGGCACGAAGAAGGGGACAGCAGCGCCGTCTAGTGCAACTACGTCGCCGAGCGCAACAGAGACAGCTGCAGGCTCGGGGGAAGCGGGGCCGGTTACCCGCGCTCGCCGCGCCGCGCAGCGCATTGAATCTAAGGGCTTGATCACATCGTGCGTGCAGGAGCCGAAGCGATTAAATACTGCGGATGCTCCCAAGGATAAATCTACGGATGACTTAAATAATAATCAATCCCCAATAGTTTCGGAATGGCAGACAGTTTCTAAGAAGACATCATCAAATAATTTGCAAACCAAAATTGTTCAACGGGGTGGTAATAGCGTGATGTCTTCTATTCTGGCGGTCGAAAAAAAGAAATTTTTACATATCTGGTCTCTTCATCCAGACACAACGAGTGAGGCCATAACCGAACATGTTGAAACTGTATGTGGCTCCAAAGATATAAAAGTTGAGAAGATAATACCAAGAACTAAAAGAGATTATGCGTCTTTCAAGGTTGGAGTTCCGGAATCATTATACGGAAAAATCAATTGTTGTGATTGCTGGCCAGTTAATGCCAAGTTCAATGAATGGGTGTGGTTTCGAAACCAACAAAGATCTACGGGAAAGGAGAGTAACCAAAAATAATTCGATATTAATATACT